TGTCCAAGTTACTTATGAAGATATTGAAGAGCACTGGTGCTAAGATGAAGCCCTGTGGAACCCACTAGTGACCAGTCACCAGCCTGATGTAATCCCATTCACCATAACCCTTTGTGCCTGAGCTGTGAGCCAGTCACATGGTGTGTTTGGCCAGTTTTATGCTGGACATTTTGTCCAGAAGGATCTTGTGAGAGATTTATCTAGTGATAAATAAATTGTTGCATTTTTGGATGACACTTCCTAAGAGGACAAAACAAGAATGGGTACCCTCACAAGGTAATACACCAAGGCTGACATCTAAATGAACTTTCTGCTGCAAGCACTTAGCTCTCTCCATTAGGAGCGTTCCTGGATAACTAACTTAGATATCCAGCTTTTTAGGTAGCTGAAATGCTACTTGGCATAATTTTGTAAATGCATCTGCCTATTTTTCTGTATAGCATGAGCCATATAAATACAATTGCCAGAGATATTATTTGTACTAAGAACGAGAACAGAATTTTTTACAGCTGCCTAAAAAGAATTGTCAGTTCACCTTTTCTGAAAAAAAAATTCCCAAATGTTTTTAGAATTCTGAGGTTTTCTCTTTGATAGATTTGAAACTGGTCTTCTTTGCAGCTGCTTCGATCTGAACAAGTCACAGAGACCCAGGGAATTCAGCCACCTTTCTCATTCCCAGCACCTGATTCTGATACAGAATTTGTACAGAATTTTATTTTGGCTGTACCTTTGGCAGAGTTCCTGCAGCATTACTGCAGACTTCACAATTTTCCCTGAGTGGGCTTGCTGTGAACAGGCTTTAGGTCCCAGTTTCACTCACATCTATGAGGCAGAATAGGGATGGAAGCAGTGGGCAGAGGTTCCTCCTCATGTCCAACCTGTCCTGATGTTTCAGTCCATCCTTCTCTTTGCCCTTGGATTCCAGGCAGAGCAGTTCTTTGATAAATGAACATTACTCAGGCATACCAGATTTGCTTCTTACCAACCATCAGAAAGTTGGAAAGAGGAGGTAATCAGGCACACAGGAATCATTGAAGAGGTACAGTGGCCTCCCCCTACAGTTCCCTTCATCAGGTTCCAGCTGCAGCAGCCAACGTGCACTGCATTAGCTGGAGAGAAGTCAAATACACAAAACCAGCCATTAAACACTGGTTCAGTTACTTGCGATGAGAGGTTCACTGCAGAACCACATCTGTGTCTTTGGAACCTTAAAAATAATATGTAAGAATTATTTCTATGGTGGGAGAATTCAGGGCTAAAGTGTTCACATAACTACTTTTCTGGTGGAAAGACATAAATAACACAGTGTCAGAAAATGGAGTTTCTGCCAAACACAGGGTCAAATTCTAAGTTTCTGTTCATTGCCAAAAAGTTAGGCTCATTTTAGCTATAACTGTTTTAACCTGTACACACTAGTAATCAGAACATCTTTCTAGGCAATAGAAAGGACCTCTCCCATTCATAAAGCTGTGAAGTACACATCCCAGGATCACATGTAATAGGAGAAGTGAAAATGGCTTTATCTTTGATGTTCTAGATCTGATATGAAAAAAAAACTGAAGCAAGAAACTGAGTGGCTAGGAAAAAGATGTTAAATACCCATAAAAATATTTTTAACATTTTTTAAATTGTCAATATTGTTTTAAAAATAATGAATGTACACCTTAGCTAGTAACTTGTTCCTTGACAAAGATATAAATTCCGCATGTTTCAAATAATGAATTAGTTTCTTGCTAAAACAACCTGAGGGAATGCAATAAACCTGAAATGATCACCACTGGATTTTAGGTTCAATTCCTCTGACAGAAACAAGTCCAGTTTCCCTCCCAGACTAAAAGACTGTGACTTCCAGCATGTCTACAATCACTGCTGCCCCTGTCCAGGTATGGGGGGAGAGGAATGCTGTATGTCAGTGCATGTGGAGTGCTCCTCTACCTTGTTCCCTTTCAGTGGGTCCCCAGGGGGTTGCCCATTTGCCTTGCTGTGCCTGCCCTGCACTGAGTGAAAGAGAGCCCTGAGCTGGGAAAGTCTTCTGGAGCATGGGGGCATGACCCAGCAGGCAAGAAGCCTGCAGCGAGGGCAGATATTAGACGTGTGAAAGAAGCAGAAAATGACAGAGCCAAGCCTCTGAAGCAACAGAAAAATTCTTTCTTAGTGACCCAGAGGCACCAAGGGTGAGGTTGTGCAAGACAGCTGGGACAATCTGACAGCTTGCTGCCACTGAAAGTGTGTGTTTCATGCTGCTTCAAAAAGCTGGGGGTGTCAGACAAATACAAGAGCTCATGCAAAAGAAAGAACAGGCAACTGCAGTCAGCAGAGGGAAGCAAACCTAGCCTTTGGGGCAGCCATGAGCTCAAATTTCTCAGGAATATTCAGCCTTTGTGGGGACTAATGCAACCCAAAATGTCACAAAATGTTGCTGCACTGAGACAAAGAACTGTGAGGGAAAAGATCTGTTATATTATTATGTTCCCACTCAGAAGCAACTGAGTTTCTGTATTTTAAATATTGATTGTCCTATTTTAGCAAAAGGCAACATTTAGAAGTTTACAGCCCTGTGGGTCATTATGGTGTGTTCCCTGTAAAGAGAAGGTCTAGTTAGGCTCATATCTTAGTTTTAGATAACTCGAGATCTGTCTCAATTAGTTTAAAGAGATCCTAGTCTGGATTATTTGGGATGAAAGAGGCCAGGGTACAGTTCCCCAAGGAAATTTGAGGGGGCATTTGTCTTTGTCATGGATGAGTGAAGGCAGCAAAAACCTACTGCCTATGGTTGCAAGAGAGTGTGGCTCTGTAGACAGCACTTTATCACTTCACATTCGGAAATTTATAATTGCCTCTCCAAAGCCTACATACAATCTCAGGAAAGGCATTTTACACAGGAAATGGAAAACTAATCTATATGAAAATGCTATAACAAACTGGTTTCAGATTAAATCAAAAAGATTTCCTCTTAGCCTTACTTTGAAAAGGCACAAGTAGGGCAGGACATGAAGTTGATATTGATCTTCTGGAAGTGAATTTTTCATTTGTGGTTAGGCTTGTTCCCTTATTCAGCTCCTTGCAGACACTGAGATTGCACACTGATTTCTGTTATCTAGAAAAATAGCTTTGGATATCACCATGTAGGAAATAGTAAAGGACAAATAGTAATGTATTACATTAATAGGGGTGACTTGATCAGTCTCTAAAACTACCTGAAAGGAGTTCAGAGCCAGCCTCTTCTCCCAAGCAACTAGTGACATGACAAGAGGACACAGTCTCAAGCTGCACCAGGGGAGGTTTAGGTTAGACATTAGGAAGAACTTCTTCACAGAAAGGGTGATTAGACTCTGAAATGGACTGTCCAGGGAAGTGGTGGAGTCACCATCCCAGAGGTGTTTAAGGAAAGACTGGACATGGCACCTAGTGCCATGGTCTACTTGACATGATGGTCTTAGGTCATAGGTTGGACTTGATGATCTCAGAGGTCTTTTCCAAACTGACTGATTCTGTGATTCACATGGGCAGTTCTTGCCCAGACATTTAGAAAGTCTGACCAGGAAGGAGACTGTGAGTGGCCCATCAGAGCTGAATCTGTGGCACTCCTCATTATTCCTGTCAGAGGGACATGGGACAGGGTCCAGCAGCCAGAGTCCATTCAACTCTCCAGCCAGGTGCAGGACAATCAGGGGCTCTGGGGCAGCCCCAGTCATCAGACACTTCCCCGGAGAAGGTGATGGGCTGAGGATGGGCTGGGATATGGTTCTGTGGATGGGTCCAGCTTGTCAGAGCTGGTGGCTAGACAGGGCACTTTGAGGAGCTGGAGACTGACCATGCTGCAGCATCACTGGAGCAGGGGCTGACAGCCCTGGGGTCTGACATGGGATCCTGAGCTAATGGCATGGTAGAGGCAGTCTCAAGGAGCTGTTTGGAGACAATCAGCTCTTTACAGGGCCATAATGATTTCCCAGTTTTGTTAATTACATTTTTGATTGCTACTTGCTCAGTTTTTAAACTTAGTTCAGTGTAAGAGCCCTGCCGATAGATCTGTCTGGGAATACGGCAGAGGAATCCCTCTTCCAAGGACGTGAATTCCCTTTCCAGGCAGAATTGACCTTTCCTTAGCTCTTCTGGTTTCCCAAAAGAGTGGTTATGACAAGAGGTCATGTAGCAAGTTCTGCATAGATGTAGCAGGGACATCAACACCAGCAGTGAGGGTATGGAAAACTTACCTATGTAACATAAATGTATTTATTGTGGAATAAATGCCACTTTGATAGTTTAGCTACAGGGTCATCAAGAGGCTTCTTTCCCCCAGTCCTCCCATTTGAATGCCATGGTTCTTCCTACTTGCCACTTAACTTCTCAGAGAGGCCAATGGGAGCAAATCAGTTCAGAAAACATATAGCTGTTCATTACTTAAGATTTCATGGCTGTAAGAGCTTGATAAGTCTCACCCTGCACCAATATGTGTGGAGTTTGCCAAAGTGTGGAAGGCTTTTATTATATGTCAGCACCATGGTGGCCATGACAGATGGCTATCATGACATCAGTTTAAACCCAGACTATCATGTTATCCCTGTACACAGACCTCAGGGGTTCAGACCCACACCACATATCCATGTCAAGTCTACTGTGTGCCAGAAGGAGAGGCTCTACTTTGGTCCCTCTGTCTCATGACTGAGCACCACAGGAGCCTTATTCACTATTTCGGGCCATGAAGCAGACACAGGAACACCACCAGAGTGCTGCTATGATGTCTGTGCACCATCTCCCTCCTGAAAGGATGCCAGCCAGAATACTCGAGGTATACAAATATTTTATTTGGTTACATCAAGTAAAGCACATGCCCTGGACCCAGGACACACCTAAGAATTACCACCCAAATGCTTGGAGGTGCTGGGTGATTGTCAGAGGGTGTCTCTCTTCTATCATGGCAAGGAAAAATGGAAACTGTCCACCTTAGGGGAATCATCTCTGGAGCATGACTTGCTGTTGTGCTGGTCATCAGCATATTTTCAGGCCTTGCAGTACACATCATATTTTATCTTTGCTGCCATCTTTGTTCCTCCCAGGGAATCTTCAAATTTTCGGTACATTTCTTCATTCTGAGCTTTAGTGAAGAGTTCTTTCCAGTTCCCAACAACCCCTGTATACAACAAGTACCAAAAACTGAAGGTAGATGCTCCTGAGACAAAATAATACCTAGGCAGCAATGGGACAGAGTCACTGCCTACAAAAGGCAGGAAGATTCTGATTTATTCCCAAGAGACCTGATTGCCTGGGAGAGGCAAGGTAGCAAAGATCAGAAGCAAAGGCTGTAGCCAGAACACAGGGAGCAGTGCTGGTGGGCTACCTACATGCTTTCTCTCCCCAGTGGGTATTTCCAAGGTGGTTTCACAAAGGAAGGGGATTAAAGAAAGTCCATATCCCCAGTATTCAGAAATCAAAGACTCTTCATGCCACAGGGAGCAGCTGGACTGCCAGAACTCTGACCCTGGCCCCAGGTTTGTGAGGGATCATCTCTGGGTGACCACTGACATGTCGATTGAGAAGAGATATATTGAGCTCTCACTGAGTAGGTAACAAGAAGATGCCTATGAGCCATCAGAGCAGTAAGCAATGCATTCCCTTGAGGTTCAAGAGACTCTTGTCCCATTAGCACAGCTCCACCCACAGGGTACTCATTAAGTGACATGCGCAGCCTTATCACCTGAACACCAGGCAACAGCCACACCATAAGCCCTCTGCAAAGAGTAACCATACAGCCCAGGAAGATTTGGTGCATAATTGTTGGCATAACCTCACCAGTGTTGGTCCTCACATTTGCACCTCACTTACTGGGGCTGCTACACACAAAAAAAAAAGAGCAACATGGAAGCAATAACTGAGGACATTAATCCTGGAACTCTCATAAGTTTCTCACAAACAGACCCCAAATCCCATCAATGGCAGAAGCTTATTGTACAGGATGCCATTGGAGTGAACTCACCCACACTTGTCCTGCTTAGACAGTCCAGTGAGTTCATGGCTAAGTGAGGAAACACACTCAGAACTCCTTCTGGAAGTCTGTTTTATAAGGTAGATTCACCATTTGCAGAGACTTACCCTTCCGGAAGAGGATATCCCCAAACTTGCCATGGGTTTCACTGGATTTTTCTTTCATAGCTTTGAAGCTGGTCTTTTTGGCAATTCTGGAAAAATCTTCCTCACACAGGGAGAATCCAAAGAAGGCAGCAATCTTTTTCATCCCCAGTACCTGGTCCTGCCCAAAGGAACATAGCACAGAGGTGAAACCAAAAGATTTGACACTGTGGCTGTGATACGGAGCCAGCTCCCAGTGGGAAGCCCAGCAGAGGAGGCTGTTTCCCACAATGTCACCAAGGAATTCTAAGAGCTCTAAGAGAGAGGAAACCCACACATGATGGCCTCAGTTTCAAGGCCTTTTCTTCTTTCCCAAAAAGCAGCTGTGACTCTGCCAGATATGACTCCTTTTACAAACAGGCAATGCTATCCTCCTCCTAACCCCTATGGGCCTCCCCTAGAGTAGCTCATAAAGGCACCTCCTTCTAAAGGGGCAGACAGGTTTGACTCAAGAGTTTCTACTTCCCCACACCCATACATATCAGGAGGGATGTACAGCACACTCATCAAAGGAGAGCTGGGTGAAATGCCACACCTCTTTGAGTTCCTCGTAGCTTATTGTCATGACCCTCTCATTGTCGATGTATTTGTTCCATTCCAAAAGGTGGTCAAAGTAGGATCCCCAGGTCACTGCAAACAAAGTAGAGGCAAAGTTGTGTACAGTACTCCCCACAACATACTCTTAACAAAATCAGAGGAGTTAGCCCAAACAGCTCTCTAAGTATGGCACTAGAATGGTGAAGTGGTGACCAGCTCAACACGTCTGTTCTTTCTCCTCAGACCAGTACTGGATGTCCCAGCTCCAGCACTGGGTAGCACCAGAAAACTCAGGCTAAAGCTTTCTCATTATTTCTCTGTTCTAGCTTAGAGACAAAACCCTGATTTTCTGGTACTCCCTGTTTCTGCCATAACATAGGCCTATCTGCCTGTTCTGGGAGTGGCTTGGCAAGGTACGTCAGAGTGGGATTCCAATGCATGGGGCCCTGTGTATGTCCCTCATAAAAGGAAGAATGCCGTAGTATGCAGGGTAAAGTACATTTCCCATTCATGAAGTCTGCAAAGTAGCCATCCCAGGAAGCGAAGGACGGCAGCACTGGCATGCTGTTGCAGAAATGGTAATAGGAGACAGCCGTGTCTTTGGGGTTCCGAACTAGCACAAGGATCTAGAGGACGAAAACACATAGTTTGGTTATGATTTCCTGGTCGACCAAAATATCACCTTCTCAACACATCACATAGAATCACAGAATCATTTAGGTTGGAAAAGACATCTAAGATCAAGTGTAACTGTTAACCAAGCACTGCCAAGTCCACTAATAAACCATGTCCCTAAGCATCACATCTACACATCTTCTAAATACCTCCAGAGATGGTGACTCAACCACCTCAATGGCAGCCTGTTCCAAAGCTAAACAATCCTTTCCATGAAGAAATTTTTAATAATATGCAATCTAAACCTCCCAAAGAGCAACTTGAGGCTATTTCCTTTAGTCCTAACTGTTGTTACTTGTGAGAAGGGACCAATCCCCATATGACTACAACCTCCTTTCTGGTAGTTGTAGAGTGTGATATGGTCTCCTCTGAGCCTCCTTTTCTCCAGGCTAAACAACCCCAGCTCCCTCAGCCACTACTCTTAAGTCTTGTGGTCTAGACCCTTCACTAGCCTCATTGCTCGTCTTTGAACATGCTTCAGCACCTCATGTCCTCCTTGTAGTGAGGGGGCCCAAACTGAACACAGTACTCAAGATGCTGACTCACTAGTGCTGAGTACAGTGGGACAATCACTTCCCTGGCCACACTGTTTCTGATACAACCCAGGATGCCATTGGTCTTCTTGGCCACCTGGGCACACTGCTGGCTCATGTCCAGTTGGCTGTCAACCAACACCCCCATGTCATTTTCTACCAGATAGCTTTCCCACCACTCTTCCCCAAGCCTGTAGCACCTGCCTGGGGTTGTCATGACCTGGTACTTACTTACCGTATTGAACCTCATACAACTGGCCTCAGCCCATCATCTATTCAGATCACTTTGCTGAGCCTTCCTACCCTCCAGCAGATCAACACTCCTGCCCAACTTGGTGCTGTCTGCAAACTTACTTGCCCACTAAAATCCACGAGATCATACAATGTTGGTCTAATTCCTGTTCTTGAGCAAGGAATCAGAGCTTTGGCAGGCTACTTGCTGCTAATGTGAGCTTCAGGCTGAAAACAAGAAGCTTTACAATGATGCCCTTGAAACACAGTTATGATCCACTTTCAATCCAGAGACATGAGCTCATTGGCTACTGAACAGGAGAGCCACAAGCAATCTGTAGATGTACCCTAGCTTCTCTCTGCAGCAATTCCCATTTAAAATTATCTTAGCCCCAGCCTGTGGTGGCCTTCACACAGGTACTCTGGTCTTGGAGGCAAGTTAAACCAAACAGAATTACGCCTTGCCTTGCTCAGCCTTCTGACTCAAAACTGGAATCATCTTTCTGAAGTAGATCTGAAGCAGCTGTAACACCCAGCAACAAGCTCACCAATAGCTACCTCTTGAGTCAGCAGACTGTTGCTGGGAGATGATGTTTATTCACAGACTTAGCAAAGAGTGCTGTCTCTTCAACCTTGGAAAAGTGTCGGTGTATTGATCAATTCAGGGGAAAATGCAGAAAACACATCTCACACAGCTTCAAAGCTGTCGCAGTGTGATGCAAGAAGACTCACCTTAGCCTTGCTTTGGAAAATGGATGGAGGCAGGAGATGAGGTGTCAGATGGGTTACTATAATTCTTCTGGAAGGCAGTTTCTTCATCCTCTTTAAAGAAAGTGGGAAGAAATGTGAAAAGATGGAAATAGCTTATTCAGTGACATGTGCCTTTTCAGAAATTGTGGGTTATAATAAAAGGTGAGACTAGAGAATAAGGATTATTTCCCTTGGAAAATCCAGAGGAATGCACTGGTATTGTAGGCTTCTGCCAGCCTCTGCCACCAAGCATCATTTCCTGAGGACAGGCCACCCAAGAGAAAGGTCTTACTGACCAGAACCACTGGGTCCAGGGCAGGAGCACCCTGTGGCTTCTCAGCCCCGTCTGCCCTCTGAGGCCCTTGCATTGGGACACCAAGGGCAATAGCACGTGCTACTTGTGCAGACCCTAACTGTTGTAAAGTCTCTAGGTTCTCCATTAGCCTCTGAGATCAGCTATTGTCTTTCAGCTATTACTACCTGGAAGAAGAGCAGTGCCAATATTTTCAGTCCCTGCTTACCTCATATACCCCAGGATCTCCAAATTCTAGGCGCGGAAATGTCTCTAGCTTTTTTTCAGCATTTATTCTCTCTTTCATTTCCTCTTCTGTATATTTGGCATCTGCCAACTCCTTCACCATTCGTTCAAGCCAGTTGGTTCCTGAAAGGGTAAAGACACCAGTATCATATCTATTCAACTGCCCCTTTTCATATAAACCTGGATGACAGGATATCCTGTAAAACTGGTTCCATGTGAACCAGTTTGGCTCTATATTGTGCCTTAGTCTTTCAACAAGTGTGCATGGTAGTTTTGGCTGCCATGGAAATAATGTTCCCCATAGTAGCTGGTATGGGACTAGGCTTTGGATTTGTGCTGAAAACAGTGTTGTTAACACAGAGTTGTTTTAGTTATTGCAAGGCAGTGCTTACATAGTGCCAAGGCCTTTTCTGCTTCTCACACTGACCCACCAGAGTAGGATGAAGGTGCACAAGAAGTTAAAAGGGGATACAGCTGGGACAGCTGATCCCAGCTGACTCCAAGAATATTCTATACCATATGGAGTCATGCTGAACAATGAAAGCTGAGGGAAGAATAAGGAAAGGAGGTCACTGAGTTATGGCGCTTTTATTCCCAAGTCACTGTTACGTGTGATGAACCCTGGAGATGGCTGAATGTTCTCTCTGCCACTGGGATAGAGTGAATTCCTTGTTTTGCTTTGCTTGCACACGTTTTTTCCTTTAGGTACTTAATTGTCTTTATTTCAACCCACTACTTCTCTCACTTTTACAATTCTGTTTCTCTCCTGTATCCCACCAGGGGTGAAAGAGTGAGTGGCCCTGGGGGAATGAGTTGCTGGCTGGGGTTAAATCATGACACTAGGCAATAATCAACACGGATATGCCAAAAACCAACAGGGACAGAGCTATCAAGCAGATACTGTGAAGTGCTACCCTGCTCACTTCAGAAGCACATCCCATCCATCTGTGGAAGCAGAAGCAGACCTTTATTGCTCTCTACAACTCTTGCACGTTTTTTGGTTACCTCAGACTACTCCCTGCAGAAATTACTCAAGAGCAGTGGTGCCCTCAGCACAGGACAAACTTAGTCATCCCTTGGCTGTTTCTGCTCTCTTTCCACAATGTTGTCTTTGGGAACATTGTTGGCTTCTCCCAACCAGCTTCAGTTTATCATCTCTTCATGATCAACAGAGCTTGGCCTCTTTCCTAATTCCCAGCTAGGTTTCTGTAACTGGCAGCTGAAGGGGTCATCAACCAAACCACCAGACCATCAAGATCCTGTCACCATCTTTGCACCAGGCTTAGCTGTCTTGGCCTCTGCAAACTGGCAAAACTGCTTTGTGAGTGACTGGGCTTGGAGGGCCAAATCTCAGGTTTCAACTAGTACCTCCTGTGGTGTGTAGGTGGATTCTCATACATTTAAATAATTTCTTCAATGCACAGCTCTACAGGATGCACACAAAGGGGATGTGATAAGGATCAACAGTTCCTCTTTTTCTGCAAATGACCTATTAAGATATTTCTTTAAAGTGAATAGGGAAAAAGGGGGGGCAGGGAGGAATCTGAAATGCCCTTAGCAAAAGAGAGAGAAAATACCTAAATACATGGTGGAATCCATGTCTTTCTCTTCATTTAAATACAACGGAATCACCTGCATCCTGCAATGCAGTAAGTCTATGGAAAGAAGCAATTCTTCTGCTCTCATTAGAAGGATACATTCCCTGTATTGCCCTTTCAGACAGTAGGGTAACAACATACTTTCTTGTATTAATAAGCATGGTCAGATGTCCTGGTTTTAGCCAGGATGG